TGTGCATGTGTGTATTTTTGTCTTCATCATTGTTGCTTGGTAGGATTTGCAAAATATTTGGACGCGTGACTATATATATTGTAGAATGCTGTATATAGACCTCTGGATGTCGTGTGGTTACTTTGACAACTGGATTGTTCGTAATATTTGTATCAGTTAAATCAAGGTCACCATCAATTTCGCATAAAACTTTCCAAAAGAGGGAAGTATATACCGGGGGCCAATCAGGAACCACAAGTCAAAAGAGGTTATTTTCGGATTATGAGTTTGTCACTTTGGTTTCTTTCACCTCTATTTTGTAGACGTTAAACGGAAACTAAGAAGTCAATAAATTGATCATGTCTGTTGTACAATCATAACTGTTCATTACTTTATGAGTCCGGCTGATTTATTTAATTGATGATAATTTAAACTTTTATCCTTTTGTTCACTATAAACTGACTTTATGGACTGTTTTATAACGTTATTTTATATCTTTACGTGCTTGAAACTCAATCGCTAATTACTATTGATAGAACTCTTTTATATTTCGAAGGACTCCAATTATCCAAATTCCTTTATCAAATAGTACAGACCATTGTAAATTAAACGCAATAATAACATTGATTAACTAATAGATTTATGTCGTTGTATAAAGGACAAGGGAGTATCATATTCATACGCAAAACAAAACAATGCAACATTCACTTATTTTATCAAACTTCATTTGTAGTTAAAGTATTTAACCATTCCATTGAAACTCAGTGAACGGTTATAGACAAATGCTTCAAATTAAAATGGAGATGATAGAGACCCCAATAGTTTAACCCATCCACATGTGCATGTGCCTGCCCCAAGTCAGGAACCTCAATTTTTTTATTTAAGAATATAGTGTTAACATGGTTAATGATAGATCTCTGATTGTTTCTGTTAAATTTCTTCACAACTTGTATAGACCTGGGTGATTAAAAGGTTGGCATATTGTCTGGACACCTGTCATTGTTTAGGACTGTATGTTGCCCTCTAGGTGTCTTATTGTGTAGACACCTGTCATTGTTTAGGACTGTATGTTGCCCTCTAGGTGTCTTATTGTGTAGACACCTGTCATTGTTTAGGACTGTATGTTGCCCTCTAGGTGTCATATTGTGTAGACACCTGTCATTGTTTAGGACTGTATGTTGCCCTCTAGGTGTCTTATTGTGTAGACACCTGTCTTTGTTTAGGACTGTATGTTGCCCTCTATATGTCTTATTGTGTAGACACCTGTCTTTGTTTAGGACTGTATGTTGCCCTCTATATGTCTTATTGTGTAGACACCTGTCATTGTTTAGGACTGTATGTTGCCCTCAATATGACATATTGTATAAACACCTGTCTTTGTTTAGGACTGTATGTTGCCCTCTATATGTCATATTGTGTAGACACCTGTCTTTGTTTGGTACTGTATATTGCCCTCTATATGTCTTATTGTGTAGACACCTGTCATTGTTTAGGACAGTATGTTGCCCTCTAGATATCTCTTTGTTAAGACTTGTCTTTAGGTAAATGTCACAATGACGTATATGTATTCACGATTGAAATAGTAAATTATTCTTTTTTTATCCCTTTTGGCCGTACAGCGCTTTGAGTGGTTCTAGAACAACCACCATTTGTTGTAAAACAGTTGTGCTCCCGTTAGTATTTTAGTTGGTGTTACCTAATCATCAACCACTTTCTGTTCTTTAAATAACATTTCAATTTTTTGTTTGAAAAATATTACTGCATAGGTATGTTGTCGGGGTCGGATTCAGACACCCCTCCCCTCCCTCCTCCAAACTCAAATCGCGGGAAAATCTCATGGAAAATCTCATTTCTTAATCATAAAATTAAATAAATGGGGAATGTGTCCATGGGACACAGATGGTGCCCCCGCTAGCATAAGACATTATAAAGGGACATAACTCAAGAACGGTAAAAGCGAAGTTACCCAAATTTGTACTTGATCTGAGTTTTGTAGTAATAAGCATTGTGTATAAGTTTCATAACATTTGGTTGAGGCAAACTAAAGTTAGAGGATGGAAACGAAAAGTTCAGCAATTTTTCCATTTTTAAAGGGGCATAACTCTAGAACGGTAAAAGTGACGCCACCAAAACTCAAACTTGATCTGCGTTTGTGGTAATAAGCATTGTGCATAAGTTTCATAACATTTGGTTGAGGCAAACTAAAGCAAGAGAACGGAAATGAAAAATTCATCAAGTTTTACATTTTGAAGGGCATAACTCTAGAAGTGACACCACCAAAATCCAAACTTGATCTGTGTTTTGTGGTAATAAGCATTGTGTATAAGTTTCATAAAATTTGGTTGAGGCAAACTAAAGTTAGAGAACGGAAACCAATTTTGGGACGTACGAGCATACGTACGTACGGACGGACGGACGGACGTACAGACGGACAAGGGTAAAACTTAATGCCCCCTCCGCTACGGCGGGGCATAAAAATAAAATCCGTTATCCTTGCCGAAGTTGTTAAGGTTGCACACCCACTAACCTCAAATCCTCGATCAGAGCCTTATTTTCATACACAACATTTTTGAATGTAAAACAAACAGATGATAAGGAAATAATCATTTTTCAATTAAATTAAGTCGTGAATAGATATAATGATAGCTCATTTTTGTTTCATACCTTCAGGTGTCACGTTAAAAAAATGCTTGCCTTATCTTTTTCTTCGTTTGAAAAATCCCAAGTTCATTGATATTTATTACCAATCTACCTCACGTGTAAATTGTGCCAGTAAGTATATTTACCTCACATGTAAATTGTGTCAGTAAGTATCTGGCTCACGTGCATAGTGCGTCATTTATTATCAATCTACCTCACGTTTAAAGTGTGTCAGTATGTATCTGCCTCCTCAGGTGTTAATTGTGTAAGTAAATAACTACCTCAAGTATAAATTGTGTCAGTAAGTATCTACCTCGCATGTAAATTGTGTCAGTAAGTATCTACCATACGTGTAAAGTGCGTCAGTAAGTATCTTCCTCGCGTGTAGATTGTATCAGTAAGTATCTACTTTACATGTATATTGTGTCAATAAGTGTCTACCTCACGTGTAAATTGTGTCAATAATATATACCTCACGTGGTAATTGTGTCAGTCAATATCTACCTCACGTGGTAATGTGTCAGTAAGTATATACCTCACGTGTAAATTGTGTCAGTAAGTATCTACCTCACGCGTAAAATGTGTCAGTAAGTATCTTCCATACGTGTAAAGCGTCAGTACGTTTCTTCCTCGGGTGTAGATTGTGTCAGTAAGTATCTACTTTACATGTATATTGTGTCAATAAGTGTCTTCCTCACGTGTAAATTGTGTCAGTAAGTATCTACCTCACGCGTAAAATGTGTCAGTAAGTATCTGCATCACGTTGAACGTGTGAACATTTAATTGCTTTCCATTAATTGTTTTTATTTCAAACCCATTACATCTGATTATTGTTATGTAAATCGTTATGCTATAATATTTCCCATCTAGATAAGATACCGGTATGTATGTATGTTTTTGCATTTCCAATTTAACAAATGGTACAAATTTACAACACTTTGCCATAAAAACCCTCCCTTGGCACTGATTACACAAACATAACATAATGTTTATGTTAACAGATAGTTAAGTTATTGGAGATACAATTAAGTTAGAACTACAAAAAACGTATAAATTGTGTTGTAGCAAATTGTTGTGTAAACGATATCTTGAAAAAAGATAAAGTATATTAAATTGATGAAATTGTTATCTCATGCGGTGTGTTACATCTTCTAGGAATTATTTTTTGCAATCCGCTAAACTAGTTAAATATTGACATATATATTTTTGAAATATTAGATTGCGGTAATTTGACCTTATTAAGATTCACCGATTCTTCCAGGATTTTCTCTAAAGGTTTCCTTTAAAGCTACAGTCGGTAAAGAGGTAATATAATGAGTAATTGTTTGGGGTTATGTTTACTAATTGTCTTGAGTGTTGTGACTGGTACCACATGACTGGTACTAACAGAATTGACTTACTTCAATCACAGTACCATCCAATTTGAATGTTGTTCAGCCCATGCTCAGTAATCGCAATGTGAAACTTTATCGGTGGCATCACTTATTTACGAAAATGTACGAGCATTTATTAAGCCCAATAATAATAGAGTATTGTGCTGCTATATGGGATACGAAGAAAATTCACGTTCATAAATTCTGTTTAGCACAATGCATGTTTAGGTTGCTATGTGTTGGTAAATACACATCCAATGCTGCAGTATTGGGAGACCGGTTACTGGGAGGCATATGATTGATACCGATGTTTTATACCCAAATTAAAGGAAGGTAGCAGTTTTGTTAGCTTTATCATGCAACTGAATGTCAATCAACCATCAATCAATCAATCCGCGCTTTATCATGCCACTGGACGTTAAGAACCAATAACCAATCAATCCGCTTAATCAACATTTAAGAGATATATTATTCAAACGATTATAGTGTGTATATGGTAAACAGATTTTATTTTTACTTTGACATAGTTTGAATGTATCTTATGTAATTTTTAACGTCTCAGATAACTCTGTATTTAAGGGCTTTTGTATGTAAACGTATAGGATTTTTTCTAAGAATTTATTAGTGTACAAAAAGTAAGACGCAAATAAATAATTGATTTGGCTTTCAATAATCGCTTCCTATATTTTGTTTTCTTAATATATTGATTTTATAGAACTTCTACCTATTTTACGGAAATTCAATAAGCTTTTAATTCAAATACATGTTTTTCTAATAATAAAAATCTGCTTTTATCTGAAAGGCTAACTGTTTCGTTAAATCAAACTGACCTCATAACAGCTACAAACTAGAAACATCTTGTATTAGCTGTCACCGTTTTGACAACTTACCTGTCATAAATGTTTCCGTTCTGGCAACCTTTTTGATACAAACTGGACATACCCTACCATAACTGTAACAGTTCTGACAACCTTCCAGCCATGACTATAAACGTTTCTAACAACTTACCAGCGACAAACTGGACATATCCTGCCATAACTGTAACAGTCCTGACAACATCACATGGTATACATGATGTACAGACTGCTAAGAATGCTCCGCATGAAAGTAGTACACATCCTGCTCCATATAAAACACACGCCGCCTGCCATGCTCCTGACGGCAAGTTTCCCAAATTGAAATATCCACCATAAAACTCACATTCCTGTTTTAGGCTTCCTCCGGGAAATACTGTTCTTGATAAACACAAACTTATCATTCCAAATGTATCTAACAGATTGGAACCAACAAGCCACACAGGTTGTACGAAGGCATACGTAGTTAAACCAGAAACCAGAACTGACAGGAATGCCCAGATAATTAGTACGGGTGATATCATGTCCTTAGTAAGATCATCGTTGACTTGTTACATCATCGAACAATTATTCCATTAGAACGGGTGGTATCATGTCCTTAGTAAGATCATCGTTGGCTTGTTACATCATCGAACAATTATTCTATAGTCTATAAAGTAAATTGAACAATTATTCTATCACTTATAAAGTAGAATGAGCAATTATCATATAGTCTACAAAATGTCTCTGAATTCACATATACAATGTTGTATATAATTTTAGATTATTAATATGTCATATTTTTACATTAAAACTACACTTGCCCATGCAGAAACTTTATATTAACACTTAATCAAATTTCCCATCCTTAAATATCGTCTTTTTTGACAGGAAGTAATTGCAGTTTTACTTCTTGTGAATTCCAAAGTTTAGAGTTGTTTTATTTTCGTACGTCATTGTTGACTTGATCAAACAAAGAATAAAAGTATAGCAAAGTGTCGATTCCCCAATCATCCCACAGATCAATATAATTGTTGCATTTTTCTCAGTAATTCCGAGCCTAGCTGTTGATTCACATTACAGGTTGTCTGTGTTCGATTATCAACGAGGAATAAATGATAGCATTAATGGAATCTAAAGTGAGAATCGCTATTTCAGGCAAATGTTTTTTACTTTAAATACAGAGAAAAACTCCATCGTATCGAGTACGGATTATTAAAGAATGATAAATGTTTAACTTTTGCATAAGAATGTAATTATCTTGTTTGGTAATTCAGCCATCTGATTGACAGATACAGTTTTAATGGAGATAGATGGCATGATATGCTTTAAAAGACGATTATTCTGGAAAAAACGGATTTTGTGTAATCAGGCAATCTCAAATTAAAAGTTCGATAAAGTCTCCCAGCGATTGTTTAGACGGCATGGTTCTGTAAATAAGAGATCGTGAGACTTCTAGCAACTAATGTCTAGCAACAAAACATTTGACGCGACGTTGTCAAATGTTTGTCTGTATTTGTATTGTGACTATATATTAGACTCAGAGCCAAATCTAGTATGCGCACCCTTTTTATTTATTGCAATCTTTCTATTCTGGTATCAATTGGTCAATTTCTTATTTAGATAGTCTAGCTTACAATAAAAAAATATTTTTTATGTATTCTACATTCTTCTTGACACTATTTACCATACTTAATAAGCTGGAATGATGAATTATTATCAATAATCAGACCAAGGCAGTTTACGTTTAAAACAACTTGCTTCTTTAGAGAGAAGGGAAGTTCCATTTTAAGACGATCTAGGTATGTGGCCGAAATAACTTTATCCTATTATAATGACTGCGGCTTCAAATTTCACTGCGAATATTAAAGAGTCTTTGTAATATGCGTTCAGCAATCTTACACAGATCCTTAAATTTAAAATGTTATTCAGCGCTGCTTATTGCTGTTGAAAGCAGGATTTCAAATTTGTCATGTTTTTATTAAAATATTTTATTGAGTAACATCTATATTAATAAAAATAAAATAATATGTATTAGAAAGAAAAATATATATAAATACTTCTCAAAGAGTTTGGTTTTGGTTATGAATGTCCTTCATTAGGCTTACACATTTTTTAGGATAATTACTCAGATTTTTTCATAATCTAGCAAAATTGCAATTTTATTCATAATTTGGTCAAATGTTCGGCAAACGCAAAAATGTTGTTAAAACCTTAAAGTACACATATGGATCTATGATTATGTGAATTTCGGTAAAGGAATTTTAGAAAACGAGCCTGAAGTGAACTGTGTATCTTATTTTGTTGTTGTTGTTATCGGTATTATTAAATGTATTATTGGTATCCATATTTTATTAATCTGAACAGCCATTACACTGGATTCATTGCAATCAGCGAAAGATTGTTTTGATCCTTATGTGTCTTGTGGACGCAGGGCCTGGGCTGTCGGTCATAAAACTTTACTCAGTACTCGAAACACTCAATCCAGTGTTTTGATAAGTTGAATTTCGAGTTTTGAGTACGATAATTGTACCCGAAAATTTTATGAGCGTAAGGCCTTGGTGGTCTCAATGTATCTTGCTCTCATCGAGTACGGTAGGTTGTATGTTCGAACCAAAGCCGGATCAAACTACAGACTTCAAAATTGATATTTCTTGCTTCTCCGCTAAGCACGCGGCATTAAGAAGCAAGAGTAAAGACTGGTCGGCTCGCAGTCAGAATAAAGTTTCCGGGTAGGTTGACATGTCTTCCCGCTAACTGTTACCTTGTGAACTAGCATGTTAAAAATTTGGCTCAGAGTGTCGGTCTAGTACAAAGCAAATCAGCTTTAACGTTCATTATATGCTTTAACATGTTCTCGTCCTGAATATGCATTGAAATTGCTGCTGGGCATGAACTTGACAGCCATCCATTATCATCATTTAGTGAACGCCTTTAATTGGCAATAACATACTAATTGTCTATGGCGTTTGCTTCAGTTCTAGGATTTTATTTGATATTATGGGCTTTTTTTTACTACAACTTGATTTGACTCTAGGACTTTTTTACATTAAAGCCTTTTCATTATGTGTAATTTGATTTAAATTGCTAGTCCTCCACATAAGGTATCGTAAATTAGAGTTTGTTCGCACATAACAGTGCTAAGTAAATTGACTTTGATAAATTCCAGCTATATTAAGCAGGATAATTACACGTCCCTGGGAGAATAAAATAACTACCTATAAACAGTAATTGCATTTACATGAATAACAGTAAAACAGTCAACAAGTTTCCCAGAGGTCGTATATCTACAAGGCATTCTTTATCAGTATTGATTGGCGCATTGATAAAGTTACTTGTTGGCATCTTTAGAGGAAATTTGATTTGTCTAGAGATCTGTAAATCTACAATCATATTAAGTAAACTATATACATATAAACTTGTCCATGGTAACCTCGTAAGTATTCGGTCCTTTCATAAGACTCAGTTATAAATTTCTGCTTATGGTTATGATAAATGAACTTATGAATTTTCAAATTGATAACCTCATTATTTATTGTAAGTTAAATAACTTGTAAATGTTTTATTAGTTAGCACTTTAACTGTTGGGAATTGGTGAGTTATATATATATATTTATTGTGAAACTACCCCTTTACAACGGGGGCAAGCGCCAGCGGGGTACGGGCACCTGCGTCATCAAAAAAGACATCGTAGTATTTACTAACAACATTATATGATTGTAATAAAAATGGTACAAGATGCTTGCAAATATTTAAAAGTCTAATAAATACATTAACGCTAAAATATCATAATATATTGGTTATTTCGTAAAAGTACATTACAGTAACAATTTCATATGCATATATAATTGGGAATCTTTCGTCCATAAATTAAAGATTAAAAATTTCAATCTTGAAACTAAAAACGTTCGCACAAAGTTCAAGATATTATACATTGGAAATTTTATCAAGTAGAAAAGAACGTTCATTCATAACGTCTACAAGGTATTTTTTCACGATCTTATCTAAACTATTACCTAAGTCGGGAGAATACAAGTAACCCAGATCACCTATCATGAACTGTATTTGTGTTAAGGGCGGCAACTCTGAAAAACAGATATCCATTTTTAAACTCTCAAAACATGCTTGTGTTTCAGTACTCGTTCTTTTCCTGATAGCCGAGAAAGAAGGACAATCTAACATAACGTGAAAGATATTCTGAGTCGCATTTGATGAACATAACTGACACTCGTTATTTGTTATCAGATTCATTCGTTGAAGGTTGCATTTATAGGCAGACAATTCGTTCTCGCCAAAAATTTTAGCCTTGTTGAGCGGAAATCATCAACATTTGATAGATACGGCTGCTTACGTTTAACAACCACAAAGGATTGGTACAAATTTAGGCTACTCTTTCCTAAAATATTAGATAGTTGAGTATTGGTCGTTTAGTTACCATGAAGTTTATTAAAGATATTTACGTTTATGTTTCCATTTGCATAATGGTCAAGACCCGCAGTCTGTAGAATAGTTTCGATATTTTCTATATATTTCCATTCATTTATTTAACAGGTATAATTTCATTTAGGATAATTTTAGACAGCCGATTATCGGGCAGGTTTTTTAATCTAGCGTAGTATGCAATTCTTTGTCTATCCATAAATCTATTTATTGACTCCCAGCCAAATTCAGCTAGATGAATGTGTTTAGGATGATTTTCTAGTAATTCGATACATTTCTGGGATGACGGGAACCATATTGAACATCCGTACGTCAGTGATGGACGAATAGCCGACATCCACAGAGAATGTCCAAAATTTATACGATTGAAATCCCCATGATCATCTAAAATACGAATTGCATGATTTATTTTCCGTTGAAAATTTTCTTTCAGTTACTGCTCTAAATGGTATGTAGATTTAAGGGATCTTGAAAAATATACGCCTAAATATTTATATTCATTTACTTCTGCGATGAGATTATTCCCAAGATACCATTTTTTATCTGATTCTTTCTTTTTACCTGTAACCAGAACCTTCGACTTGGATGAATTAAACTTTAAGCTCCATTTTGAGACAAATTTATGCGCTATGTTTAAAAGAATTTACCTTGAATTTGAATATTTTATGTTTTGTTTTTCTAACTGATGGTCACTGATAAGTTAAACATTTTGTTATTCTGCCTTTAAACTGAGTTCAATGTTTTGTTATTTGACCTTGCTATTGTTATGGGTGGGTGGGGTGGGGGTATTGTTATGGGTGGGTGGGGGGAAGGGGGTATTGTTATGGGTGGGTGGGGGGAGGGGGTATTTGTTATGGATGGGTGGGGAGGGGGTATTGTTATGGGTGGGGGAGGGGGTATTTGTTATCGGTGGGTGGGGGAGGGGGTATTTGTTATGGGTGGGTGGGGAGGGGGTATTTGTTATGGGTGGGTTGGGGAGGGTCGTATTGTTATGGGTGGGTGGGGGGAGGGTGTATTGTTATAGTTATATATAAAAGACACCAAAATGACAAAAAAAACACTTCAAACGAGAAAACTAACGGCCTGATTGATGTACAAAGCAAAAAACGGAAAACAAATATGATATACAGAAACCAACGACAACCAATCAATTACAAATTCCTGACTTGGGACAGGCACACACATAATGTGGCGGGATTTAACATGTTTGCTGGCGCCAGACCATCCCCCTAACCTGGGACAGTGGTGTAACAGTATGACATAAGAACAAACTATAAAAATCAGTTGATAAAGGCTAAACTCATCAGATCGAATGTGCACTTCACAAGATCGTACATTGTTCTTAAGGTTTCAATTTTGAGCATACTCTTAAGTTAGATAAATTGGTGTATAGGACGGCATATTATCTAAACATAGCATGAAGTTATTTTGAACGATCTTTGGTACTGTATTGTTTAGTAATCCATTATACCGACATCAAAGTTTTTATTTTCTTTTTTTCCTAATTTTTTTTTTCTAAACTTTATTTCCTTTTACGTTTTATATCTTTTTTTATGTTATTGTTTTATTCTATTGGTTAAAATTGAAAGGGGATGCTTAAATCAGGAGCCTCATCAGTTGTTGTCTATGGTAACAGGATCCTGGTGGGTTTTTTATGAAAGAAGAAAATTGAAAATAAAAATCTGTCTTGAAAATGCGTCGAACTCTAAAATACATATGAAAAAAACAAAAAAAAAAGCAAAAAAGCATCAAGGATGGACAAGGGTATAGCAATGTAGTCATTCCTTCGCCTTCTCCAATTTGGTATTGAAACCCTCGCTAAAGCAAGGCGTCCGTTATGCTGTCCGGGATGTATACGCAGCCATGTCTGGATGTAATAGGGACGTTACGTGTCCAGCTCCCTGTACGCTCAAGAACCATTGCATTGACTCTTTGAGGGGTGCGTACATGAGCTTTTGCAAGATAAATCTGCCCCAGATATAATAGGTTTTTTAATTTCTGTTAAAAGAGCCATACCTTTCATTGATTTGCCGTGATTTCCATTTTGGAATGGTAAATCTAAATGACGACGGTCAATGTATTATACTTCCTGTAAATATAAACATTTAATGAAAGAAAGGATGATTATAATATTTTTCTACTTAATGAAACGTCAATTATATGACCGCAAATTGCACGGGTAAGAAATAAAAATAAACTGCCCGGAAATAAGAGCACTTACCGTTATGGTTTTCCGATTATATCTAATATCTGAAAAGACCAATGCTGAATACGTAAAGGGAAGATTAATCAGTAACCTATGTATAATATTGGAATATATAATGACATCAATACTGCATTTACTATAGATCGAAACGTTTACAACAGTTTTGTAGTTAAATAACCATGACTCTGTATCTGAAAATTAATGTTTAATTCTAGGGATGGACCTTTTTATATTATCGAGTAAATATTTTCAGTCAGCCAAAAGAAAATCATACTGTTAATTTTTCAAATTTTTAATTAAATGGAGAGATCAAGAAAAAGTTTGAAGTCTGTGAACTTATTCTTCACACTATTGAATTTAAGTGTTTTTTTCTTCTGCGGAATAAGGTGACACCATTGTCCCTACCATTCAACTATTGAATTAATACAATTACTGCTTTCTATAATTAGCAAAAACTCAATATCTCTAGCGTTTGTAGTATTCGTGCAAATATTTCGAACTTATTCAAAAAGCCTACTTTACTTAGGATCATTTGAGTAAAAGAAAAAAAGCAATTAAAACACATTTTTTGAGTAAGTAAATTTGTGGGTGGAAGGCCAATATAAAGTATGTTAATAAAAAACTCTAGCTGATAGTAAAAACAAATTAACATAAGTGAGGCGCGTCTTGTATGTAATCAACATGGACAATATCACCAAAGATACTAATCAGACTTAAAACGTACATCAGACGCCTGTTTCTTTTACACAAGACTCGTTAAGGGCTTTCGGATCAAAACAATTGAAAGGTCAATTCAAATTAAAAAAGTTGAAAAGCTTTAAAAACTATAATTAAAACAGTCATATAGAAAGAAGATGTGGTATGATTGCCAATGAGACAACTCTCCACAAGAGACCGAATGACACAGAAATTAACAACTAGTCATGCAAAACCTGATCGCTTCGAATAATTCAACATTATAAACTGTAAATTTACATAAAATGAGTGTATTAATAATATTTCTTGTCATCACATGGAGAGTTAAATACTGGGCTGGGGATACCCTATATAATTCTCTTTCCTTTTATTGAAAATGAACGACGACATTGCCTTATCTTTTCTATACAAAATAATATCAACAGAAATGTTTGGCGTTTTGCTTGCTTTTATTTTTTCTAAAATGAAAAATATATCAACCTAAAAGCATAATGGAAAAGACATGATATGATTATCAAATCATGACACAAACTTTCATTCCTGTTCTTCATATTTTGTTGCAAAGAAACAAGTCAAACAATACACATACTAAATTAGCCGGACGGTTACAATACTTTTCTTCGAGTATTTCTCGAAGTCGTATTCCATACTTGCGTTTTCCCATATAAAAGCCTTTTTATAAAACCTGAAGTATTCTGCTGAATTTAAATAACGTAATTTGACTATTACAAAATAGGATTAAATATAATGTTTTTAATTTAGGAAACATATATTTCATAACAAGACCAATATCTAACGGATATATTTGAAATTAACTTAAATCAGAGGAAATTTGTACTGTGAAAAAAGACCTGACTGCAGCCAAACAACCTACGGTTATATAAAAATACTACCTTATGTAAAAGTAGACCTGACTGCAGCCAAACAACTTACGATTACATAGAAAAACAACCTTATTCACTAGAACTTAAGCTTGTTATGTTATACTAATTTATAGCTAAACCTATACCGAACGACTTTTAAAAAGGCAGACTTTGTAATCATGTATAAATAACTTACCTCTTACGTACACTATAACATTTCCATTGATGTTGTAAACAAAACCTTCAATATGTTTTACCATATAGTGATTATATCCTGAAAGCAACAGAAGCGACTTTGAATGTAACTAACATGTTTTTAGAGCCTTTTATATCCAGTAATAAGTTTTACATGAGAATTTAGTTGTAGCGGGAAGGTAAATCAATAAATCCGCGGGAAAACCATTTGTAGTAACATTTGGAAGAAAAGGGTTCAATCATCGGCTTTTAACTGCTAAAAGATTTTCAATTAAATTTGATAAATTGATAATAGTCGTGTAAAATTTGCATTTGAAACTTCTCGATCGACTTATTTATTAAGATGCAGGAAATAATCGAATCAAAAGGCGAAGAAATACAACATCCATTGACATTATAATCAATCATACAAGATGTAAGAACAGATAACATTCAAAATGAATCGTTCCATGGTTACTTTTTCTTACTTTTTTTTAATTTTGGACCATTCAACCATGGCTAAACTTACTTGTTGCATATCTATATACAGTAATGGTGTCATTCGTTGTATTTGCTACACTGATTTTAAAACAAAAGAGAGGTGTCCAAATTTTTCTGAATTTATTTCATTCCAGTGCCATTTTCAAAAAAGCTTTCAATCTTTCCTACAATTTACAGTATCATAGCTCTGTGTATATATTTGAGGTTCTTACATAACAAAAATACCGAACTCCAAGTGAAATTCAAAACGGAAAGTCCCTTATCAAATGGCAAAATCAAAAGCTGAAACACATCAAACGAATGGAAAACAACCGTCATATTCCTGACTTGGTACAGGTATTTCCTTATGAAGAACATGGTGAATTAAACCTGGTTTTATAGCCATCTAAATCTCTCACTTGTATGACAGTCATATAGATTTCCATTATATTGACAACAATGACGATGTGTGAGCCAAATATAGACATAATAGGTGAAAATGTCAAATATTGGGGTACAAGTGCATGTTTACGCTATATCTGACATTCCTCTTTTTAAAATAGATTCCCATTTGTGGTCTATATATATTTGTCAATTTGTCATACATATAGGTTATTTGACGTCATACTGAACTTGGATAAATGATGAGATTAGAACGAGCGAATTACAATTTGACCAAAAAGAGACCAAAAAATATCATAAAACAAAACAAATACAAAAAACAGCAAACCAACCAAGCAAAAACCAAAAATGAAAATAGAGCTAGGATATAAAACCTCAAAAGAAAATTAAAAAGTCTGAAAGATGAAAAATAAAAACGTATGAGATGGCTTAAAATTTGAGAAATGTGTATTTACTTCGTCTCTCCCTGGCTATCCTCTTTATCTTCGTCCCTCCCTAGCTATTCTGTTTAACTTCGTCCCTCCCTGGCTATTCTGTTTGACTTCGTTCCTCCCTAGCTATTCTGTTTAACTTCATCTATCCCTGACTCTTCTGTTTAAAGTATTTATTGAATGTTCCAAATTAACCTACTTGTTTCTAAACCCTCACCTTTGAGTTGACTGTGATTTCAATTTGGATAAGTGATCGTTCATATCAAATTACCTACCTTCGATATTTACGGAGAATCTGGGTACTGAATCTGCTTTATACAGGATATATCAGTCATGTTAATATTAAAGTACATTGCACCACCAAAAGATCACAACTTGGATAATTTGCATGTCTACAAGCATTAACATGAGAGAAGTCTTTTCTTACATTATTGTAGGCCATTAAATTATCTAGCATGGTCAGTTAAATGCCAAGCTTGTTCGTGTTAAATTGGAAAATCGTGTTTTGTATTGATGGGAGGTGAATTATCTTTGAAGTGACTATAAACGATTGCCTATATAGCACAGTAATCATTATAGTTTTTACGATAGTTTATGATTTTGTATGAAATAAAAGACAAGAATGTCTGTATTAGATAAAAGTATAATTGCTGATAGTAATTATGTAATGTGAAAAATAAATAAAATAAACGAATAAATCAAAATAGTTGCCATTAAATTTAATGTCTCTATTAGGAATATTGGAAATCAGAAAGGGGTAAATAAGTTTTTAATGTATCGATTATTAAGTAACATTCTTGCAATACTGCAGAAACCAATGATAATCCTCGTAAAATGTATATGTAATATGCAAGTTGGGTGATACAGAAATCGGTGAGAAGTAATGCCGATGATTATTAAGAACAGAAAAAAGATATATACAGTGTTTGAGTTTTTTTTTTTAGGTAAAGGCCTAACCCTAATATATAACCCCGTTTTTTGTGAATTTCATGTTGCTTAGTCTTGAGTTTTCTATGTAGAGTATTGCGATAGTTGTTTGTCTTTTCCTCTTTTTTCGTTTTTTTGCCATCATGGTATTGTCGGTTTTTGCCATCTTGGTAATGTCGGTTTTGCCATCATGGTATTGTCGTTTTTTGCCATCATGGTATTGTCGGTTTTTTGCCATCATGGTATTGTCGGTTTTTGCCATCATGGTATTGTCGGGTTTGCCATCATGGTATTGTCGGTTTTTGCCATCATGGTATTGTCGGGTTTGCCATCATGGTATTGTCGGTTTTTGCCATCATGGTATTGACGGTTTTTTTGCCATCATGGTATTGTCGGGTTTGCCATCATGGTATTGTCGGTTTTTGCCATCATGGTATTGTCGGTTTTTGCCATCATGGTATTGTCGGTTTTTCACCGACTTATGATTTGTACGTTCTCTTTTTTTCGCATTATAGATCTACAAAAGTTCTTTGATAGCAAGGATGACTTTTCATGCTGACGACGGACTACTAGCCATAAGGTTTTCAAAAAAAAGATACAGATAGAGCATATGTAAGGATATATTGTTGCTAGCATGTGCACTTTGCAACATCAGATGAAATCGAGCCTTGCATTGTTCATCGAACCAAATGGTCCTCTTTCTATTCTTTTGACCACCAATTTTCCATTTGTGTTTTTACCGATGATTTTTTTTCCAAAATCGTTCACTTTTGACTTGTCTAATTTTAAGAAAATATTCGTGTAATATTTTTAGAATCAGACAAATGGAGATGTGATATATTCCCTGTGGTTATCAGATGTAATGGTTGAACAAAAGTCTCGTGACATTTATATGTGTGATCAGCATATTATACTGTTAACAAGTATGAGATTTCACAAACTGATTACATTTGGAACCAACGGGAATGGTTTTGAATGCAATAAACATGTTTCTCAAGCCTTTTATTTTCAGTAACAAGTTTAACATGAAAATTAAGTGGTATCGGAAGGAGGATCAATAAATCCGCGGGAAAACCATTTGTTAAAATATTTGGACGAGAGAAGATTCAATCATAGTCAACTGCGAAAGGATTTCCACTTCATTTGACAAGTAAGCACTTATCAAGTGTAACTTTGAAAAACATTATTACTTTTTAGTTGCATTAAAACATGTATGATATTGGATAAATGATGTTATCAAAGATAAATAAATGTTCAATATGCGAACACCATATAAATGATAAAGATGCAACACTATAAAACGGACATATACAAAACAATTTTCATTATGCATTTACATTTAAGGTTTTTGATTTCGACATGAAGAAAAAGAAATTGATCTTACTTTGGTTAACACAATCATATCAGTGTTTTTTAACTGTTTCCTTTAAACATGCCCTCGTTTCGTAACATATCCTACGACTGCAATTGATCGTAATTCATGAACAATTCAGAATACTTACGATCATTTTTATCCACCATTTTCTACATAAGGAAATGTATGTACCAAGTTAGGAATATGACAGTTGTTTTCCATTCGTTTGTTGTGTTTGAGCTTTTGATTTTGCCCTTTGATAAGGGACTTTCCGTTTTGAATTTTTATTGGAGTTCGGTATTTTTGTTATTTTATTTTTTAGTCATACGATTATATGTGAAACGCAGACCTGGATCTTAGATACGAGGGAGAAGATACCAAAGGGTAGTCAATAACAAATGTCGATTGATTCATTGATTGATTTTTGGTTGTTTAACGTCCAGTTGCAAATACTTTTATGCATGTTCAGGACGAGAACAACTGAACAATAAATTACAATAGGTATGTCCTGTGATAGAGATCGTCAGGGATGAATTTCTGTTAAATTTTAGCTGCCACTGGAAAATGATGCTATATTGTAGAGTGACGGAAATGTTAACTTGACTGGCCACTTGCGGACAACTCAAAGAGTTGTTGCAAGGGTTCTTAATGTGCAGAGAGCATGCCACTCTCTTTACATGAGTCGTCGGATTTAATTAACGTCGCCATACTGACCGGACGCGGCTGTGTACTTTTACATCCCAAACAACTAAACGGACGCCCTCACTTTGACAAGTGTGTTCCAGCCAGTCGAAAGAAGACCAAAGTGACAACATGTCTATTCCCCAGTCACCCATTGAGGTACTATATGTGGAAGGTGACAACATTTCTATTCCCCAGTCACCATTTGAGGTACTATTTGTGGAAGGTGACAACATTTCTATTCCCCAGTCACCATTTGAGGTACTATATGTGGAAGGTGACAACATTTCTATTCCCCAGTCACCATTTGAGGTACTATATGTGGAAGATGACAACATTTCTATTCCTCGGTCACCATTTGAGATACTATATGTGGAAGGTGACAACATTTCTATTCCCCAGTCACCATTTGAGGTACTATATGTGGAAGGTGACAACATTTCTATTCCCCAGTCACCATTTGAGGTACTATATGTGGAAGATGACAACATTTCTATTCCTCGGTCACCATTTGAGGTACTATATGTGGAAGGTGACAACATTTCTATTCCTCGGTCACCATTTGAGGTACTATATGTGGAAGGTGACAACATGTCTATTCCCCAGTCATCCATTGAGGTACTATATGTGGAAGGTGACAACATGTCTATTCCCCAGTCATCATTTGAGGTACTATATGTGGAAGGTGACAACATGTCTATTCCCCAGTCATCCATTGAGGTACTATATGTGGAAGGTGACAACATTTCTATTCCTCGGACACCATTTGAGGTACTATATGTGGAAGGTGACAACATGTCTATTCCCCAGTCATCCATTGAGGTACTATATGTGGAAGATGACAACATTTCTATTCCTCGGTCACCATTTGAGGTACTATATGTGGAAGGTGACAACATGTCTATTCCCCAGTCATCCATTGAGGTACTATATGTGGAAGGTGACAACATGTCTATTCCCCAGTCATC